CTACCCCTGCCCTAGAGGAAATGGAAGAGTGTGTCTTATTTTAATTGATACTGCTTAAACTTGCAATATTTGTTGAGTGGTGCTTTGTATCATACCAGACTATGTGGAAAACTTACTTTCTTGGAATACAAAATACCTACTGTGGAGGACTGAAGAGCTGTCACCCATAAAAGTAATATATCCAAGGTCTGCTTTGTGACTGGATCATTTGTACAGACCATACATAATATATATTGTACGATCAAATTTCTAAAAGAAATTAGCTACAAGTCAAGGAAGTCTTTTAGCATTTCATCAACTAGCTAAGTGGGGAATTGTACATGAACTGTTTGTCTAAATGCAGGAGACTCCATTCTCCAAAGAAGCTATTCTTGCTTCAAAGTACTTATGTTTTATTTAAATGCATCTCTTTGCTCTAGGGGGGCCACGCCAGCCTCAGGGATCACAGCCTGCACGGACAGGAGCTCCACCCCAGCAAAGGCTCTCTCCGCAGGGTCAGCAACCACAGAGCCCCCAGTCCACCTCACCACAGCAGCAGAGATCGCCTGGATCTCCCCAGCAAACTAGATCATCAGCCAGTAGTTCACCAAGCCAGCCTTCCAAACCAGCCGCCTTCCCCCCCCAGCAGCCTCGACCTCCAGCTCAAGGACGGGCTCCTGGTCCACAAGGGTCTGGAGAACCAACCAAGCAGCAGCCCCCTCCACATCCTCACCTAAAGTAGGTGCCTTTTATGGTAGATATCCAGCATAATTTGTGTTGTAGCCCCCACAAAACAGACGACAGATATCAGCATTTCTGAAGAAGAGAGTAGAGCCAAGCAAAGCATATAGAAGAGTAGAAATCACTCAAGCAGCTGAGCTATACCCATAAAGTAGAGGCGAAGGTAATCCCATGTCAGTATATTTTTGCCCCTGGCTGTGTAAAATGTCTCAGGGTTAAAGAGGAAATGCTGACTCAGAGGAAGCTGGTGCAAGTTGAGCATGGAGATGAGTCATAGTAAGTCCAAACTGCACTGTCATTGTAGACACGACAGGAAGCTGATGAAACACTACCAGGAGGTTGGATCAGAATCTTAGCTGTGTTTGTGTATATAAGGATAAATGCTCAGTACACAGTGTGGTGGAGTGGATGTCGGTTGATGGCAGAGCATTATGCTGGTTTGTGTAAATATTGCTGTATTGTGATTGTAAATATTTGCTGCATCTAAAATTAAAAGCCTCTTCAGAAGAACCTCAGCAGTTGTGAATTACTTCCGAGCAGTGGTGTTTGTCTTCCTGACTGGCAGTCTTCTGCATGTGGACACAGTTCTACCCTAGCTTTAACATCCCAGCCCTGGCCCTTGCTTTTTGTACAAGTCAATCTGCTCTGAAGGAAATTCCTTCCCATCTTTCAATCAGTTTTAATCCTTAGGAAAGTCCACATCTCAAAAGGAGATTTTATCGAGCTGAAGACCATCACTTTCAGTATTGTGCCTGGTTGTGGTGGTCCTGCAAATAATCATATTCACCAAATAATAAATTGGTACTGAGAACTCAGTTACTGTTGTGTGCCTTCAAGTCATTTCCAATCTATGGTGATCCTAAGGTGAATCTATGGTAAGGTTTTCTTGGGAGGTTTTGTTGAGGGATTTGCCATTACTTGTGAATGTGGTCACACAAGAGCTATATTAGGATTAGAGCAAGACTATTTTTTTTCTTCTGCTTTCCCCTTGTTACTTGTCTTGTCCTGGTTTCATGTAACTTTTATTTCATTTTGTTATTTCTGACTTATGGCGAACCTATCACAGGGTTTCCTTGGCAAGAGTTGTTCAGAGGGGTTTTTTCCTTTGCCTCCCACTGAGGCTGAGAGACTGTGACTTGCCTAAGGTAGGTTAGGTGTTTCCATAGCTAAACAGGGATTCAAACCCTGGTCTCCAGAGTCCTAGTCCAATACTCAAACCACTACACCCTGGCTTTCAGATGAAGGCATAATGAATTTAAATTCCAAATATAATAAGTAATGTAATTAGTATAGTAACTAATGTTTTTTTTAAAAGTTACATGACAACTTGCTTTGGAGATTGTTGTAAACAATTATTACTTTTAAAAAGTAACTTTCCAAACTTTCTCTTAAAAGAACTACAGTACTATGTCCTGGCAAAAATATTGTTTCCAAAGTATTTTCTTTTGTCTTTCCCACTTTATGAGGGAAATGTCCATGTCTCAAATCTTTTTCCCTCTCCTTTGCAGCAAATCACAGTCCTTGACAAACACCTTCAGCCTCTCAGATTCTTCACAACGGGGAAATCCAAATGAAGACGAGGCAAAAGCTGAAACCATCCGCAACCTGAGAAAGTCATTTGCTAGCCTGTTTTCTGATTAATCTCTTAGCCTAGAGTTTGTGCAGTTTGGTTGTTTTTTGAAAATTCCTGTCTTTTTTATATTCCCCTATCCAGTCTTGTCATTAAAATTACCCATTAGTACATATAGTTTCTTAAAGAACAAATTCACACATACAGATGAGGACAGTGTCAACAAGCAAGGGGATTTTAATCATCCATACACCCTCTTGCCCAGCTTCTGGGCCCCATTGTAGCCATAACATCTGGACAATGCATACACATATGAATATGATATATTCATTCTTTGCTTTCTGTTCCAAGTCTGAGAGTAAAGTTCATGCACAATTGAGCTTACAAGCATATGGATGAGGCCAAGGTGGATAGAATACAATTATACTGGCCCACGATTTATAGCTACTTTACTATGTGTATACATAAGACCAAAACCTATAAATAGTTACCTGCTTGTCTAAACAGTACCTGTTACGTTTTTAGTTGATTCAGTTAGAATCACACTGGCAATAAAAGAACAGCAACCATGGCTTCTCCACGTAAACCAGTGACCACAAGTTTCAGGACACCCTTTTCTGTAACGTCCCTTGCAGAACAAACATCTTTGTCATGGTGCGTTCATATAGCGTGTCACAAACACGATTCTATAGCCAGCTACCCAATCGCTCCTGCTTGTAAAATGACCAGTACATTAGGCCATGAAACTTCATTCTGCAGTTGATTGAATGTCATTAGTGGCAGGTTGCTTCACATTTTTTGGTTTATTCCTTCCCAGCATGCCAGAGAAAGAATCTAGGGTTTTATCTTGTTCATTTCTGTTTTGCTGGGAGCAAAATCAAGTAGAAGCTCCCCATTGCCAGGTGACACAATACAATCAACTGCAGCGCAACAATCTATGGCGGTGATAGAGAACTTTTTAGAGACTGAGAGCCCAAACTGCAACCCAAAACCCACTTAATCGCAAAGTGTTGCATCCCTCTGGCTTTCTAGTAATGAACTTTGATGAGGTGTGTGCCCACAGAGAAGGCTCTGAGTGCCCCCTCTGGCATGTGTGCTACAGGTTCACCACCACTGGTCTATGGTTTGTTTAGCCTTCAGTGGCTGAAGAGCAGGGTAAAAATACTCTAAATAAATGTTTAGCTGCTGCTACAAGCAAGCAATCAAGTTGCGTGCATTGGCATGCCACTCATTCAAACCGAAGTTCGCTTGTGTTGTGGAAACACACCTAACAGATCAGAATTTTTACTTTATTTATATAAAGAAGGATCATTTCTAGACAGAAGCATCCTGGAAAAAATCCATTCTAATTCTGATATGCAATTAATCTGGTATTCCTGTAGTACTGGAGATGGAAATGATTGGCGAGGTCATTCCGATTCAAATTCTCTTGTTCCATTGTCCATAAAGGTGAAACCTGTACAAGATTTGGAAGCCTCTAGGTGAGGGAATTAAAATACAGAAATGCTGTCTTATGTAAGAATACCACATCCTAGTAAAAGTATATGCAAGTGTTTGAATTATGCTTGTGAACAAACACAGGATAATTCAAGTTTACTGCAGTACTGAAATAGCCATAATGCATTTCAGATAAGGGCTAGGATTTCACACCCATCAATTCCCTAGAGAAATCCAACAGCAAGATCAGTGTTCATTAAAGATATCTTGAAGCAGCAACAGATCTAAGTTGGCACGAAAATTGTAAGGAAAACATTTTTAAAAAAAAGCATCCAGGTAGCCATCTGCTAGTGGCAGCAAAGAACAGATTAACAGCGCCACAGGTTGAATTCATGGCATAACAATATAGACTAATTTACTAATCTGACTTTCTCCCCACAGCTTCCTAGTCTCAGAATTAGGGTCTAGTGTCCTAACATTCAAGCATGATCAGGTTATACATCAAGCATCAAAATCTCACAGAGGATGAAGAAAGTCCATAACTAGAATTCTAACTGTTCCACCTGAAACCAAATAATTTAACTTCCTTTCTACAGCACTATCTGAAAAAAAAAAAAAAACTGGACGTCAGTGTGGCACCACACATCAGACAAGAAAAATATCCTTGATGTAAGGAGAGCTGGACTCTATGATAAGGCTACCACAAAGATGTCATTTCCCTTCTCAGCACTCAACTAGAATAGCTAGGATGGAGATCTCTGACCCATATGTTGTGGGAGCAGCTTATGCTTACTCAGTACTAAGTGATGCAGAGTATGGCACCCAATGCATATTATATTGGGCAATGTCTAAACACAACTAAAGCCATCACTGGTCTATGAATTTTAGCTTTTTTTCAAAGTCTTTCCAACTAAGCCATTTGTTTTTATTCCAATTTTGCACATATCACACAGGATAGCAATATAACTAACAGTTCTACATCCTTGCCTGAGCTGCTAGAGCTATTATTTTAAGTTCTATGAATGCAGTTTGGAATTGTAACAAACTAGTTTTCTATAAACTACTAGTATGGGTTTCACCATAATTAGCACATCAAAATGTATACTAATTATAAACACTGAGACCCATGTTCAAATCCATGCTCTAGCAAGTCAGTCTTAGATTAACCTACCTCATAGGGATACAATGATAGCCCTTTGCATAGGCGTACTATAGTTACAGTAAATATATTCTTCCCCTCCAGTTGTCTTTTTTGTCATCAAAAAGGTTGACTACACCAGTACAATAGGTTGCTGAAGAGGACCCCAAATACCTATACGGCAGCTTGGTTAAAAGATGCCAGTACATTTTTTCTATATATCTCTTACAACAGTTAATGAGAAAGGATCTTTAGGATCACATCAAAATAATATTCTTCAATTCAAAACTATTTTGAGAATTGCGTTAGAAATGTTTCCACTAGTCCAAAACACACTGTGGAATGATCCAGTTTGAGACCGCTTTAACTGCCCAGGCTCAATGCTAAGGAATTCTGGGAACTAGTTTTGTGAGACATTTAGCCCTCTCTATCAGAGCGCTCTGGCGTCACAATAAACTACAATTCCCAGGATTCCCTAGCACCGAGCCAGGGCAGTTAAACCGGTCTCAAACTGAATTCTTTCAGTTGTGTTTTGGACACAAGTCATAAATTAGGTTGGTTATACCACTTTATTTAGCATATAATCCTGAAGTGAAAAGCTATAGCATTAAATACTAAAGTTAGGATTATCAATGCCATTGTATTTCCCATTTCTATGTATGGTTGTAAAAGCAGGACAGTGAAGAACACTGATAGAAAAAGATCAAATCATCTGAGATGTGATGTTGCAAAATAGTTCTGAGAATACTGTGGACTACTAAAAACATCAATGGATGGGTACTTGAGCAGATCAGGCCCAAACTCTCCCTGGAAGGAAAGATAAATAAACTGAGGTTGTCATATTCTGGCAATATCATAAGAAAGAACTCACCAGAATAGACTATAATGCTTGGTGAAGAGGAAAAGAGGGAGAAGGCATTCCAGATGGATAGAACCAATCAGAGAAGTCACAGCCATGAATCTGCAGGAGCTGAGCAGCTATTGAGGATAGGATGACTTGGGGATTTCTCATAAATAGGGTTGCCATGGGTGAAAGTCAACTTGAAGGCAATTAACAAAACTAACATTAAAGTATGAGTTTATGTTCACATATTTTGTAATCCAGTAGCATTACTGTGCCTCAAAGCTGTATTAGAACTAAATATTAAGGGCCACTTCTGAAAGAAAACACACACTTTGTCAATGTTCATGTTGCGCCTTTAGTATTTGTGCCATCTGGAAACAATGAGTTTGCATGAGCAGGTCTAGTAAAGAATCAAGCAAGCAATAATATATATCAATATTACATGCTGCTTTACTTCAGATCTCATCCTTAATTCACACATTTAACAGCAAGTAGAGCACAGCTGCAATCATACTTTTCCCACTTTCTTCCTATAGCATAGTTATCATATGTAGCCTTCAATTATAACCCAATCAATCCCATGTTATTTAGAATAGAAGCTTAATTGGCTTATTGAAATCAATGTAACTGGGCCAAATAAGAGACTAAGGGGGGTTGCAGACTGCCAGAAATAGTGCAAATTCAGTCCACTTTTAGGGTTAGGGTTAGTGCTAGGGAATCATGGGAATTGTTTTTGTTCTGAGACATTGAGCCTTCTCTGTCAGAGAGCTCTGGTGCCACAATAAAATACAGTCCCCATGATTCCCTAGCACTAACCCTAACCCTAAATGTGGACTCAATTTGCACTATTTCTGGCAGTCTGCAACCCCCCTAAATTTGCTTACTGAAATCAATGTAACTGTATCAAATGGTTGTTAAAAACTTTCAGTGGGCTGAAAATACTGGACTGAGAAAGTCACCCCGAAATTAATTCTTCAACACCATACTACAACAAAACTGGAGATATACAATCATTGTTTTACCCATATATCTTTGGGAACTGTATTTGTGTAGATGTTTCATTAAGGAGATATTTTCTATTAAGTCTTGTTCTGAAACACAAACGATCATGTTTATTGACTGTATGAATATTGAGTTTTATCTATTACTTCCTGAGTATTATATAGGTATGGTTATCAGTCATGTATATAACTGCAGAATACATGACAACTAGGAATCTTTGCCTTGATGTAAAGGAACATAAG